GTAGGTGCACAATGCTGATTTTATTTTCTCCACCATTCCTCGTTAGTCATAAATCGTGGAGTCTTAATATCGATGACCCTCTTGCTCACAATAAACTGTTGGGCGAATTTTTTCTGCACATAAATATTTTAAATAAAATTCTCTTCGCGCGAATATTTTATTGCTATGCCATAATTAGGTTTGCAATAAGGTAAAGTGAACGAGAGAAGGCCCCACATTTTAAAGGAACCGCATCGTATAGGACCCCTAAAGCCAAATTCGAGAAGGAAAAAAAGTATGTAACAAAATATTGAGGAGTCAATTTTAAACTCCAGATTCAAATTTTATTTATTATTTTAATGAGATTGTTCGAATGAAAAGTTTCTAAAAAAGAACTATTACTTATACTTGTGTCGAGAAACCTTTCAAAGAAAGTCTTCGTATTGTACTTTCGCAGACTTTAAAAAAACATTCCAAAATCATGGTCTCGTTTATTTGCTTTCCTTTAAATGAGGCCCTTTGCAAAATATTTTCTTATTATTTATTAATATTTTCGCTGAAAAGGTTAATATTTGCTTTATTTCGTTTCCTTTGAAAAAGGTTTTCGCTTAATATTTCTGCTAATCTAATCATGACAGCAAACAAAAATGCAAAAAATAAGGTTTACAATTTGCTTGTTTTTTAACCTAAATAACAATATTTTTAAAAAAAGATTTAAAAATCATTTAGTTTTCCTTTAAGGAGGAAAGGTTGGAAATTGCAATATTTTTACGTCATTGAAAAAAGGTTTTTACCGGAAACCTTTTCGTAACAATGAAAGTAAAGTTAAAACTCAAGATTGTCGTAAGGTTACATGCTTTCTGGGATTGATTATATGTATGATTAAACTAACAATAATTAAATTCAAGGCAAAGAAAGTCTGTGAAATTAGCAACGCCTGCATTTAAGCTACCGTTTTTTATTTATTTACATCCTGATTCTGATTTTATATGAATACTTTCATGAATCACCCGTCCCCAAGGGGTAAAAGCTGTAAAAATGATTATCCCTAAAATTTTATATATAGCTGTAATAAGTTATGTTAATTTGATTTTAGTATGAAATCCTCGAATAAATTTAGCAAAAACAGCATAATCTAAACAATATCAGATAAAAAGTTCATGTATTTAAATTCTGAAAACTTAGAAAATCATAAATAATTTATAAATCGATTCAACTTTTCTTTTCAAAGGACATTAAAATAATTTTTTTGTTTTTTAGGCAGAAATCAGCTTAAAAATTGTCTATTGCCTAGAAACTTAGAGATATTTTCTATTAACAATGAATTAAACCTCTCTGAGCAATCGCAAAACATTATTTCAATTTTTTTACAGTCATAGCATGGTTGCCTAGCAACCAAGTAAAATTAAGCATTCCTCTTTTGAATTAGTCAATGGGTTATCTCAAAATATTCATTTGCGCAGGCTACTTTTTTTTGGCGGTTTTCTGGACTATCGCCAAATATATAAACCTTTATTGCGACCCAATTTACGATCCAATTTTTTTTTAAATTTTGTCTACCCCCCTAATTCAAGTGTCTAGATTCCAAATATGTAAAAAAAAATATGTTTATTCAGAGAAAGTACGTTTTTGTGTCTGATTTCGTAACTTAATTAATAGTTAGCACTAATTAATTAGCATATTTGNTTTTTTTTTTTTTTTTTTTTTTTTTTTTTTTTTTTTTTTTTTTTTTTTTTTTTTTTTTTTTTTTTTTTTTTTTTTTTTTTTTTTTTTTTGCGGACTGTACTTATACGAATTTTGAAATAAGCATTTGCTTATTTAATATTTTTCGGCGCTCTTTTTGTTGATTTGCCACATAGCAAATAGTTATTTTCTGGTTTAATAATTGAAAGGTTTTGAAATTTGATTTTTTTTTTAAATATATGATAGTTTGCTTGGGAGTGCTTATGAGCTAAATTGTTTTAGTTGATCTCCTTCCCACTGTGTTATTTTTTGTGTGACATTGACGAAATTTTTTTGACACTGGTATCGATACCGGAATTTACCATTTAATTTTGTTGTAAAGGATAGTACAATTTCTAAAGAGCATTTTCGAATTAAATAATTAAAGTTTCAAATAAATATTCAATGCTTAATAGTTTTATATTTGTTTTTTTCATTGCATAATCAAATTTATATTCTTTTAAAATTGCAGTATAGCTTTTCATCTTCAAGGAAGATGAAAAGCTATACAGCATCATCTCCTTTTCATCTTCTTTCTTTCATCTTCTTTCTTTCATCTTCACTATCAAAACACGCTGCATCATCTTCTTTTCATCTTCTTTCTTTCATCTTCACTATCAAGACACTACAAATGGAAATTGAACATCTGATGGAATTCTAAGTTCGATCCTTACTGCAAATGATTTTGAATATTCAGCAAGGACCACTTTAAATCTGCTGTGGGTGAAAATCCTCTTGTTGAAGAAAGATGTCGAAGTTTGGAGAAAGAGGGAAACTTGTGCTTTTTAATGATCAATTCACTGAGGCACAGTACCGCAGTGGACTGATCGTTAAGACACGGTTCCCAGCAGATCACCGAAGTCAAGCATCACTGGCTGTGGTCAGTGTGCGGGTGGGTGACCACTTGGATCAGTGTGCGTAGGGACCGAGGGTGTGCGGTATTGGTCCTCGTTAAACTGTTCTACCATAAAGTGCTCGACTCCGCGTGCAGGTCATCGGGCTACCGAAGCGGGGGTGCCATCCCCTCTGCAGAGGATCGAAATTGTGATGGCATGCCTTCGGATCATCTTCAGGAGTGTTTCCCAGACCGTCGCCAATAGCCCCTTGTGCAGCTCCAATGCGACGTAAATGAACAACAACAACAACACTGCGGGACAAAGGACGACGAAAGAAGCAAAGTCTGGGATGATTCTTATTACCAAGCAAGGAATATGCCATATATGATAACGATGAAAACAATAATACTATCAGCCAATCAAATAAGCGTATTTCATTATCGTTATGTCCGTCAGCAAACGTTAGCCGTCAAAAAAAAAAATTTTCGTAAGGAGTTATGTAGGGCAGAAATATTCAGTTAAAACCGTATTATTTGATAAAGATGAAATCAGGAAATTTAAATTGCGAAATATATATTTATTTCTATTTGATGTTTACTTTTCAAAGTGATTGGTTCGCAATAAACTTTCTTTTCCTACAATTATAAACACAACTTCGCGTGATAAAATCATTAAGATGTCTCTTGTTTAGTTACAAAATTTCCAGCGGTAAGAAATTAAGTCCTAAAAAGTTACTATGTTTTCCTTCATCGTAAATGGAATAATGCTTCATTAGATATGATTCAAGTTGTCATTGGGGGGTAAGAATAATTTTTCTTTAGTTTTTAAACTTTTCGTTGTTTCATTCATAGAACTATTTTGCCATAAAACGAAGTGAAACGGAAAACGACGTCCTTTACTCAATTTTAAAGAAGGAATCTGAATTTTAAAAGAAAAACACAATCTTTATTCCCCATGAATTATCTTAAAGCTGTAGAAAATTGTCTTTTTAATTGCAATAATTCTACCAGAATTATATCAGCCCTAAATGATTTAAGAAGCATATATGAACAAAACAAATAAGAATTAAAACAGAAATTCGCAGTATTTTTAACCCCATGCATATCTTTCTCCATTATTAGAGGATTACATCCTTGTTCCAGTCTAAAATACAAAAATGCAAATTTATTTAATTTTAGATTATTTTCTAAAAATTTGTAAAAATTTAATAAGAAATGCTATAAAAACGTGAATAAAAGTAGTTGTTCGATTTCATAATGTAAAACTAAATTCGTAACATCCTAAATTAATTCAAAATATAATTCCATTCATAGAAACAGCTCAATGAGGAACCTGCATGCTTTTTTTTTATGTTTTAAAATGAAATATCATGCCATTTTAGAAAGATTGACACCAATTTCACACCGGTGTGATAACTAGTTACTTTGTTATTAATAATTAAAATTGCTCGATTAGCCCCGCCTCCTAAATCGCTGCTGGGTTTCCCATCCGCTCTGATGACGTCATAGTATAGTACAACCGCGACTATAAATTCCGCGCCCGAGTATAAATTCTGAAAAATGGCTCCAAGCAAAAACTACAAGTTTTGTATTGTACCATGTGCAATAGTTCCATGTTAAACACGCCAAATAAATTATTTTTTAGTGTACTAAAAGGAGAAAAAAGACAAATTTGGTGAAAAGCCAACAAACGTGATTAAAAAAATTCTCACAAATTATCTGCAACTACTGCATTATACTGTTGCTAAGACCATTTTACAGTAACTTACTTAATTATAATTTAATTCTATAAGATTGTTTTTCTGGTTGATAAGCTTCTCTGAATGAATAATTTATTATACTGAATTGAAATGTTGCTCAGATAACTTTCTTTCTTCCTTTTTTTTTATTCTTTAAAATAAAAGGATTTTATTCTTAGAGAACAGTGGTGTACAGGTTCTTTTTTTTAAAGTTAAACAATAATTTTATCTAGAAGAAAAATTATCAAAGTTAAAATAAAAAACGATAGGGGTTTAGCATTATTTACATTTCTTCAAAAAAAATTTTTTTTCAAAAAAATATTTTAGAAGTTAATAATGAAAAATAATTTTTAAAAAAAATTTGCCTAAATTCCAGGTTATATACCATTTATTCCGTTCCCTCTAATTGGGATCAACTCACTAAATAAAAACTTTCAAAACAGTTCTGACTTTTATATGTAGACAAATATAAATAAAAATGAATCAGTATAAATAAAGAAAAATGAATTTATTTCAAAAGTTATTGGAAAAAAAGTTAGTTTCGACATTTATTTTTTCATTCCTCAATTTTATTTCATTGTGCTGAAAGGTGCCCACAAAAATTTTCTCAAGGGGGAGGATGCAACTGATATAAACTGTATTTAAACTATATATATGATATAAAAATGAAAGAAAAACAATTTTTTAAAAATGCAGTTCAAATTAAAACGCCTTTGTAACACATTTCTAGATAAGAAGCTTTGGTTTAACTCCTCCCGTTGGCTAAGTTACTATACTTTGACGTCATAAGCAAACACCGCCTCATTTTGTGTCACGTGAAGTTAGTTTCGTTTTGGGCTAATTTTAAGTTAAGTTTTCTTTAATATTCGGGTCAGTTTTTTAAATTCTGTATTGATGTTAGAGAATCTTAAGATATAGCTATTTAAAATAATCAACATTCTGCGATTACCCAACGCATGCAGGTACCTCATTAGCATACTTGCACTGATAAATAAAAGAACCAGTTAAAATGGTGAAGGGCCACTTGCACAGCACATAGATTAACGAAGGGCCACACTCATATTTTTGTCATGTTAGTGGCAAATATGATAGTTCATATCTAAACATTAGTGTCCTAAACACCAAATATTTTTATCAGCAAACATATTTGCAGAAAATTAAATACTTTCAATTATTTGTATTTAAAATTAAAAAAAACTGATACCTTTTTTTTAAAAAAACTTTTTCAATTTATCACAATAATTAATTTATTATATGCATATATATGTATATATATATTGGGATGGGATTATAAATTCTAACCAAAAAGAAGCTTGCAGAATGAAAGTGCACAAAAAAAATTTGCATTTTATACAGTAATATAAATTTGAATTAAGTATTTTTATAAAAGAAAACTTATAATGTTTAAACAAAAACCCCAAATTTTTTTTTTTTTTTTTAATGTTTAGAAGTTCCTGCAGAGCTGCACATCAATAGTCGGCAGGCCGCAGGTGATAGGTTGTGCAACCCTAGTCTAAAGTAAACTATAATGAGAACAGCACTTCTTAAACCGTGGATGAGATTTCTTTTGATATTTAAAATACTTGTTTTTATGGTAAATTTATTAATTTTAAGACAAGCTACAGTGTCAGGTTAGGTATAGTGGATACAGGGGGAAAGTGGGCATATATATATATATGAACATCCATATTCTCCTTTTAAACTGAGATAATTAATTTTATATTTTTGGAGACATTTACAAGGATTGTGGCAAGCATTTTTATTTCTGTTTTAAAAACGGATTAAAAAATGTATGTTTACAAACGCAGGGCTCATTCTCGGCGATGTTTGCGGGACGGGGCACCCCGTTTGCCCTATGAATTAAAAATTCCTTCCCGCATACCTAATTAGTTTGAATATGTACCACGATATATTAAAGGGGGGATGTTAAACCTATTATGTGCTTTTCTGATTGTTTTTCGGCAGAAGTAAATCTTGTTTTGTCTGTAATTAACCATTTTTTTAATCATTTCCGTATGATTTTTCAAATTCTGCCGTATTTAATACGTTATTATGACAGGTGTATTTTGAACTCGAGTTATCGGTTTTTTGAACCGTTTGATTTGTGACAATTCCATCCAATTTTTTCAAAGGTTGTAATTCTTTTGGCTTTTTTACGTATAGATGTTTAATATGATGTTGTTTGGACGTACGACTTTCGAATTTGCACTATCACTATTTAATATGTTTGTTTCGTGGCGATTTTATCACAATTTCATGGCCTTTGTTACGAACAATATGATTTATATATATATTTAATCTTTCTTAGAGAGCCAATTAAACTATTGGTAAGATTACAAAGATAACGGATGGCTGTTGTGTTGCAAAGTTGGAGAAAGCATCTGTTATGGCTACTGCTGTTTGTGATCCAAAAAAATCTTCAGCGTCTTCTTTTGTTCCGCTTACAGTGAGTATTTCTTTTACTGGAATAAGACTGTATTGTCTGTTTTAGACACAGAATGGTACGTATTGTGATCTGCAGTATATCACTTGTGTTTATACTAAGTAGTTAATCCCAGTTTATTCTCATCTCTTCCTTTTACAAACTGTAAAAAAATAACAAATTTTTTTTCCATTATGTTTATTTTCTTTTTTGTTAATTTGATTATTCTTAAATTTGAACTTAAGAAAAGATTAACAATAGAAAGTTTTGTGGGTTTTGTAAATTGTATTTTTGTTTTAATTTGTCACTTTCATCAATTAGCTTTTATTTTTATTTAAATATTTTATTAAAATGCAATTGTTATATATTTTGTTTTTCAAGTTTAGTGATTCCTCTAAATTCGTGTTGATACGAAACACTTGTTCTATTACTGTATTAAATCTTTTCAAAATATGTATCTAAAGATGTTTGATTGTATTTCTTCAATTTTCTGCAGGAGTGAATTAATTTAAGTATGATATAAAAATATTAGAATATATTTGTTTAAGCTTTTCTTATTAAAAGAAAAAAAAATATTAAAATACTTTTTAAAGCTTTTACTTAATTTTATGATTAAATGAAAAATTTTGTTTGATAATTCCTTATGGATTTTCAGATTTTAAAAAAAAAATTTTATTTACTTTTAAAAGCTTTTAAAAAATTGCATATTTTATTTAAAAATGATATAAAAATATTTGAATATATTTCTAAAGTTTTTTTCCAAAGAAATATATAAATTAAAAATCTTTATAAAGCTTTTACTTAATTTTATAATTAAATGAAAAAGTTTGTTTGATTATCCTTAAGGATTTTCAGTTTTTATTTTTTACTTCTAATATTAAAAAGTAATTGCCAAATGTTGGTTTTTGTGACTAACTGAACGGTCCTACCAATTTTATTTTGCTAAAACTTTCTGTTATTATGCTTCAATGTTTGTTTGATTTTTTGGTAATAATACAGTTTTATATTTCGTGTGCTAACTGGTGTAAAGAGATTGATTAATCTTGATAATATTTGGCTTATGACTGTCTTTTATTTTCTTAACTTTTATTTTAAAAATCTAAGCAGTCAGCTGATTTTTAAAAAATGTTTTGGGATTAATTTACTTTCTTTCTCATATTCAGTAATTGTTTTTTTTTTTTACATATATCATGTAATCTATTAGCGTTAGANGTTTGTAGAAAAACGCATCAAGCGGGATTTTCATAAAAGGGGTAACGCAAAATCCGGGATTTTTTAACATTATCGGTATAGGCAATTTTCACGGATCAACAGAAAATGACGTAAGAAGCGGGATAACGTACGAAACGGTCAACGCAAAATCGGGGTTCCACTGTATGTATATATATATATATATAAGCATGCATGTATGTCTATGTATTTTGTGGATCAGAAGGAATGAAAATTTGTTGGCAAAGTTACTTTAATTCATCATGGCTATCACCTTTGCTACACGGCTATCCCCTCTGATATTTTGTAAACTTGCATACAATGTATTCTCCTCATAAATTTTGAAGCAAAATTCTTTTATCTATTATTAGGTATTCATTAAAAAATGTGTATTTGCAAAATATAAGCAATATCAAGCTTTTTCTTAAGATAAAAAAAATTATATTTATGTACATGTAATAATATTTTTACCAAAAAATAAGTCTTTTAAGAAAATTCTAAAAATAATTTTTTTTAAAATAATTTTTAACTCTAATAGCACATATAAGTGTGTGCTATTTGATTTATTTTAAATATAAGAATAAGACATTAGGTAAAAAGTTAGTGTCCCTGGTTATAAAAAAAAACAGGAAAATCAGCCTGGAAAAGAAATAGGGGATTTGTTGTCATCCTGAAATAGTTTTTATTTCTCTTCATGATTATTTAAATAAACAAAACATTTTATTTTATAACCACCACTGGGATAGAATGCAGATACTTTAGTAAAAGGTCCATATGTTTTGAGGATTGGCTTTAGAAATTTTTTTGGGAGTTAGCAAGCAGCAAGTTTTGTTTTAACAGGGTGCGTAGCATTTTTAAAAGAGCTTAAAGGTGCTTTTTTTTTATTCGGGGTTTGTAAAGAGTGCTTAGTTTTCTATTTCTTAGAAAGAGATTTTTTTCTTTGCCATATCGATTGTCGTTCTAAATTACAAAAAAATGCATGATTTTCACAATTTTCTCTGCAATATTTATCAGAAACCAGGGTTCATGATTTTTTTAATTTAAATCGGATTTTTTTTTAAATTCAAATACACTGTTAGAACTTTGACTTATGATTAAAAAACTTTATAAATGTTTGATCAAAATTAAATTAATATTAAAACTGTATTATAACATTATTTTAGGAGCTCTAACTACCTGAAGCAATTTTTCATTATAATACTTAGCTTTGAATGCATAGCAACCATTTTGAAACAAATACATGATTGAAATTTAAAGACTAGATGGAATAAAGAATACTTTAACTATTAAAACAAAGTTTCAATTAACAAACCATAATTTTAAATTAAAATTGTGATTCCTTTTTTTTCCTCTTGATTCTTAAAATGGCAAAATAAATGTAACAGATTGTGTTTGTAAATAGATAGATTAATAGATATTTAATCTATATATTTTTATATTAAAATATTCCTTTTTAATCCTATATCAAAATAGATAAGTTAAGCTTAAAAACTTTTTAAAAAATCTATGTACTCATTGGAATTTTTTCTTACAAAATTTCTTTATAGAAAATCTGATAATGTTGCAAAGGGTGGTTCATCTATAATTATCTAACTCTAAAATTCTATTAAGAAGTAATCAAAGCAATTCTAAATCAACAGTCAATTTTAGTATATTTAAAGTATTTAATAAAGAAAAGAAAAGTGTTTGCAATTTAAAGCTCAACATCTACATGAATTCTACAAATTGACTGAGGATTAAAATTCAGTTCTTCAATGTTTTGAGCAGTGCGCATCGTTACTATTGGCAAAGAGAGTTAGAAAAAGAGAAAAATAATGTTACTTGGCGGGAACAAATGTCAAAGATACTTTAAACATATTCTGAGAAAAAAATACTTATTGAGACAGCACAATTCTAATTCTGGGTTATTTAATTTAATAATATAGAAATTTTCATTTTGAGATTTGATAACATAAATTCAATAGTTTTTTATTCGTTGCTAAACTGTATAAAAAGAAACAATCCAGCTTTCTCATTTCCTAAGCAATTGCACAGTTTACATTGTACTGTAGGTACTATCTATTTATAAAAAGAATCGATTTAAATAAATGATTTTTTTTTAAAAAAATAATTTAATTTAAATCAAGCTGATTTAAATCAACTGTCAGAAACTAGTTATTTTACCATGATTATGTAAAGTTTCTGAAAATGTCTCTAAATTTTATGTTTATAAATTAAGAAATTTAAACAAGAGAAAAAAATAATTTTTATTGCTGCACAGATCCTAATTATGATTTATTTTTGGAAAGTGATTAAAAATATTTTTTTTGAGTGGTTAAAAAGTACTTAAATGGTGCTTATTTTTTGCAGAAAAATCTGGCTTTGCACCCTGTTTAAATAATTAGGTGGCTAATGCTATAAAAATATAATTTTGTAATTTAAACAAGAAAAAACAGTAGGCACTAAATACTACTGTCATTAATTCATTAATGTGGGAAATAGTCATTGCCAACGTAGTAATGTTATTATTGTTATGATGTGTCAATGATCTACTAAACTATTGAATACTAAGTAGATGACATTGCTATTGAATGTAAAATGTATTTAAATGTTGATTTGTTTAATTTTTAGCATCTGCAGCATTAAGTCTTTCTGATATTCCTTGGAATGGTCCATTTGGAGCAGTTCGTGTAGGACTCATAAACGATTAAATTATAATTAATCCTACGAGGCAAGATTTAGCTAAAAGCTCTCTAATTCTTATAATTACTGCAACTCAAGAAAATAATGTTGGTAGGTTGAAAAATAGGAATACTAGCATTCATGGTTTTAGACGAGTTATATTATATCCTTTTCATAAAACAGTTAAGGCACTTTTAACTGTTTCCCCTTTAAATTTTAGGGACTTTAGTTGTTAAAATGGTATTTTTGCTTTACTAAACTGATTTCTTTATTTTAGACTGGAAATGTATTTTCATTTCAGGTTTTAATTCATGTTTTTTTAATTTAATTTTTTCTAAAATATTTATCATTTTTATTGTCCCTAATTTGTTACTAGTTTGTGAAATTGCTGTTTTATTTCCTTGATTTTCTTACTTTCATAGTGGTTGTTATGAGCAGAATTCGTTGATTTTAATCAGCTTGATTAAAATCAACTAATCTCTTAATCAGCTTGATTAAAATCTGAAGTAAACTAAACTTTTTTTTTTTAAAGAAAAATCATCGATCTAACCCACAAATTTTTTTAAGGAATCAGTAGTTTAAAATTTTTTATAGTATTTTAATATGTAATTGTTTCGAACTTTTATTGAATTTCCTAGTTTTGAAGTTTATTGTAACTGTATTACTTAGTTTATGAGTTTTGATGAGCATTTGTTGTGTTATAAATTATTTTTGGTGATTTTTGTAATATGACATTATGAAATAATTTTTTTTTTTTAAATTTTTCTGAATGCTAACAATCACAGTGAACATTTGTTGCATTTTTTTAACATATTATATATCTTAAAAAGTAGCTATTGAATAGGGTTTTTTTTCACAAAAAAACAGACAGTCATGATAAATTCAACATATTTTTTTATTGTTGTAAATATATTTTTTATTCCTAAAGTATATGTAATATTAAAAAAGAAATTATCCTGTTATGACATAAAAAAAACTGTTTAATCTCCCTTGATGCAAGCAGATATAAATTTTTATATTTATTTTATAATGAAGCCATCAATTTAGATGCTATTGGCTGTAAGAATAGGAAATTTTCACCTGAAGGGAAACAACAGTGTAGAAGTTTGTAAAAAAAAGGAGGATTTTTGTAATGAATTTTGCAATGTTTGTAATAAACTTGCAATAAGAAATACATTTTTATAATCTTATCATACACATTTTAATTTTCATTCTATCATGTTACCTATACAAATATTTTAAGAATAAACGTTTTTTTAATACAATGTTTATAGCATATTTTTTATAATTATTTGTAACTTGCTGTACTCATAAGTTAAAAAAGAATCATCCAAATTTGATTTTTTTTTTAAACTAATAAGAATGTAGTTTTTGTTGCTCATAGGATTTTTTGAAAAAAAAATTTTTTTTTCACAAAAGTGTAATGTTTGGAAAAAAATAAACAACACAACAAAACTTTACTTATTGTGAACATTGTGTCAAAATTTGATTTAAATTAGGTGAAAATTGTACTTATTAGATATGCAGTTAGTTATAGAGAAACATAGTTTTGAGTAAATCAATAATCTGCATAAATATATAAATTTTTGCAATTAACTATAATGCCAGACTCATAAGGTGCTTCTTCAAGTCTTGTCTTAGTTTTATCTCTTCTTTTTTTTTAGAGAAGCAGTCTGTGATCATCTACATTTTGAACATATTCTTTGGCTGCTAAGTCTAAATTTTATTCCAATTGTTCGGGAATCGACAATAACTCTGTGCATCTTTCACTAAAAATTAATACAGCTAAATAAGTTACAATTTCAGTTATTTATATTAAAAGTATCATTAATTCTTTTTCTTACATAATTTAAGCAATTTATGTCAATAGAAAAGTTGAAATGATAGTATTTTACTGAAATGTTTTGTTAAGAGTGAGCAAATCTATTAACCTGTTTAGCAAAATGTTTCTCCCCAATAAAATAATTTTCTATTTAATAACATGGGAAAATCGGTTTTGCTGTGCGGAGAAGACTGCAGGTACGATTTTTTACGTGCAGAACCGTCAGTGTGCAAGTTCACTTGTTCATATAAATCACTTTGTTGTTTGCCACACTAGACATATTATGCTTTAACTCTTACATTTTATGAAAATCATTTCAATATTTTGGTACAGTAATCTTAAAAGGATAAACTATCAAAAAATACAATAAATATTCATTTTTTGAAAATTTTGGCATTTTTTTCCAAAATGAGAATTTTTTCTTGTCGATTTTCGCCAGGCATTACGCAAAAGAGTGCTTTTCCCATTGTTCAACGTTTACATAATTCATTCAACCGCAATCCATTTTTGCGTACCCTCGGTCCATAGCGTAGGAAAGTCCCAAACATTCTACATGTTTGATGAAATGCTTACAAGTTTGCATGTGGAATTCCGCTGCATTTTGCAAGGTATTCTCAATGTCAGGCTTCATTTTCCACCCTCTGATATCGAACAGAAAAATTTCTTGATCATTTTATAATGGCTAATATAATCAAGAAAAGATTTCTTTATCAGAAACTAGTTATTTTATCATGATCATGTAAAGTCTTTGAAAATCATTTTGCATTTTGTTAATGTTTATAGTGTTTAAAAATATTTTCTGGGTGCTTAAAAAATACTTAAAGGTCCTTATTTTTGTAGAAAGATTAAGCTATGCACACTGTAGTTTAATCATGGAAATTTAACATGTGTTTCATATTAAATAATTTCATTTCATTTCAACTGTTATAATTAATAACAAATTTCAAGAATTGCATTTGAGTTGGTTTGAGTGTGATGATTTTTGCTACTTTTAAATTCTTGTGACAAAATTCATGATAAAATTTTTTTTCTTATGACTGATTATGATCTGATTTTTAATTATGCATTATAATTGATTAATCAGTTATTAATACTTAAAAAGAATCAAAGTTAAAGAATGTTTTTGGAATTTGATAATAAAAAATGACTAATTTTTTTTTTAATGAAAAATTGATATGTAAGGAGTAATTTATTACTTTTCAGAATGTTTTTTAAAAACTGCTTCAGATTTAAAAATGTCTGAATTACTTTTCCAATGTCTGATCAATAAACTTCAAATCTCAGAATGCAAATAAATTTCATGTGAATATTTTTAAGTTTAAATAATTCAATAATATCTTAATATTTCAGATTATTTATTTTTGTACTCAGAATTACAGTATATTTAGTGCTCTCATACCATAAAACTTTATATTATTAGTACTCTTATAACTCATTATAATACATTTATTGTTCAAGAAATGTAGAAATATTAATACTGAATTATTTATTATTTTAGATGAGGAGAGGAATGGCTGCTGATGCTGTGATACAAGAAACATTAGAAAAGGTAAGATTTTATTTTCAACGCCTATACACAGTCACGAATAACACTTTTGTTTAATCTTTGAAATGTCTTTTTTTATTTTGATTTATATGTATATATATATATATAATTGTAATTTGATAGTGCAAGGGGATTAATGTTGTTGATACTTTTGTTTCTTTGAAATTAAATTGACATATTCCCTAGAATCGACCTTAAAAAGCATTAAATATTATTAATGTTCTAATTTGTATGTTAGTTACATGTTCTAATTTGTATGTTTGTTACTGCTAATTATTAAGTTTTTTTTTTTCAGTTTGTNGTTTTTTTTTTTTTTTTTTTTTCAATTTGTTTAATACTTTAGTCCTTTTTTATTGCATCCGTTTAAATTGGCTTCTTGAAAAAGTGTGTAAAGCATTGCTCAGATCAAAGAATGTTGTTTTAAAGAGAGAAAATTATACTCGTTTGGATCTTCTTTCGACTTTATTGAGCAATAATGTATAAACCCACATGAGTCATGGAAGGTGTTTGATGGAAGTCATGGAAAATCAATGAAAGTTTGGGATTTAAAAATTATTTGTTTTTTAACAAGCGAATACGCAATTGCTTATGTGGCTTGTGACCATATGGCTTTAATACACAAAGAGTTGTCTATTTGTAAATGTAGTTGAAGGCAAACATCACTATTAGTTCACCTTATATCGTTAATAAAATACATCATCCACTCAACTTCCAATGCATTCTTTTGTGTAGTGGTTTGTTTCAAATATCAATTCATTCATTAAATGTTTATGAGGGAGAAAATTATTTGAAACTAAAATAAAATTTCTCTTTGTTGACCTGTTCAGTCATAAATCTTCACATCATTTCTATTAAAATGTGCCTAATTTTTAAATCTATGGGATATTTTATGAAATATGAGTTTTCATGCAGATGAATATAGTTTAAATAATTAAGGAGAAAGTTAAGAATATTTTCTTATATTACATGGAATACTGATTTCCTCTTTACAACGCTCCTCTTTTTCATCTAATCTTGAAGTGTGACAACCTTTATTATTCATACATAATATTTTTGTTTCTACATCATTTAATGGAAGAGCATTTTCAGTACGGAATTTTCCTGTAGATTATTGGATTTTTCATGTTTATCTTAATCTTGGAAATTTCTATTCAGTATTTCAAGAACTGGCCGGAAATATTGGATATTCCTGGTTATGAAGCTTCTATCTGAAATAGGCCTCCAATGGATCCCATCGCTTGTCGGGGTACGTGGCAATGAGACAGCCGATGTGCTCGCCAAGAATGGCTGTGATCTTCCCATGGACTACTTGAACCATTTCTTGAGATCCACTCCCTGGGAAAACAACGTTTGCNCCTCCAATGGATCCCATCGCATGTCGGGGTACATGGCAATGAGACAGCCGATGTGCTTGCCAAGAATGGCTGTGATCTTCCCATGGACTGCTTGAACCATTTCTTGAGATCCACTCCCTGGGAAAACAACGTTTGCTTAGGCTTTCCTTCTCCGGGGGGATGTGTGACAACAACAATCTTGGAAATTTTCTAAAATATTCAAAAATTCTCTTAAAATTGGAATAGTGTTGAAAGAAAAGTCCCTAAAAATATATTTTTTTACTCAATTTATTATTTGCTTGAGTCATTAAATAAGTATTGCTCATAAATAAGGAAGTAAGCCTTGTTGATAGTGATCAGTTTTAATCTTTTCTTCTCTAGAAGCATTTATAATTTCAGTCTATTTTGTTCAGAACTTTCTGTTTTCAAATTAGTTTTTTATGTCTAAAATGAATTAAATATTTAGAACTATTCAACATTGTAAATTAAGAAATATGATAAACATAATATTTTTTATTCTACACATATTGTTACAATACTAAAGTTCGATGGTACCTCTTGTCCTTTTCGTAGTCTGAAAGAAATTTCATGTACTTAAATTAAGTTTTGTATTTTAAAATTCTAAATTTATTTTTATTTTGTTCAAGAAAAATTCCTTTAACCACAAACAGATATTAATCAATAAATTGCTGTAAAAAAATTTAATCCTGTAAACAAAAATTCATAGATTTTAGAAATTTGGAATGATATTCTAAAGAAATAAAGTGCGTAACTTTTTAAATATTAATTAAAGTGCATCCGATAATAAAGACAGTTATGTTAATTAAAATTGTTCCAAACTTTAATGACCATTCAAATGTAACCTTGTGGAAGGGATAGTTTTGTGATTTGTTTGTTTTTTGTATAACAAGGGAGAGAAGTATGAATAATGCATTAAAATTTCCTTATTTTCATAAAAGTATTTGGGTATTATTTGGGTATTACCAAAAAATTATATGGTAGCATTTTTAAATTTGTAATGTAAGTTTATTTTAAGCAGTGAAAAAATTGGAAAAAAAATTCTTCAAACAATTTCAGAGATCAACAGTTTTGAACACTAAAAGAAAACACAAAAAATTCCTTTAGAATTCTACTTAAAAGTTTGTAAAAAGAATAAAAGCACACATCTTGTTTTTTTTTTTGCAAAGTTATATCTTTTATTTGGATATAATTCGATATTTAATTACATTAGTACAGTAATAGTTAAAACGAAAAACATGGGAGCTTTGATTTTCTTATGTAAGCATAGGAGGAGGTTTGCTGGCAATGGAGAGGAGTCCAAAACTGCCAAGAAAAAAAAATACTTATGGATTGTCTACAGTAAAAACACCCCTAGCCATTCTTCTGCACCCGTGGTGGTGACTATGGTTACAAGGTATAACTATTTAAAGTGGGGGTATGGGGTCATTGTTTAGGACAGGTTTTGGCTCAGGTCGACGAGAGAAAGAAAATCCTTTCTTTGGTCTATTGTGTAGGACCTAGAGTGAAGAGAAGCTACCCTCCCTGAAATGCACCATTCTTGTTTCCATAGCAGCAGATGGCCTCAGACATTGTGGCGGGGGGAGTTCCTACCAAAGACAAACTATACATAATATTTGCCTTTTATTTCTATTTTGTTTATTTTGATTTAAAAAAGAAAGTATAGTGTTAGATAAGTAGTAAGATTAGTAATAAGTTCAGTTTGTAATATTTATTTTAGGTCCATTTTGCTGGGGAATTAAGCTGTTTATTAATTGTTTTAAAAGAAATATCAGTCACTTGGAAAAGCAGTTAATTTTCTTTGCACCAGAGGAGAAGTGCATACCTGCCAAGTTCCCTGTTTTTTAACAAAGACTCCAGTATTTTATTATTATCTCCTGTTTACCCATATATTCTCAATTTTCTTTGTATTTATTAAAGAAATTTAAAAAAAAATTTTTTTTTTGGATAAAATATCCACTGGTGGTTAAAATATATCTTTTATTCCTCAACAGATGGGGCTATTACCATGCAGTATGTTGAGTGTTTATAGTTTAAGTAATTATAAATAATGGTTTAAAAAAATTCTTCTTCAGATTCTCTTTTTGACGTATCAACACTTTACTGGTAGCCTAAAAAATGTTGCTCTATTATTTTATTTCTCCAATGTTGGCAGGTATGGAAGTGCCAAATCTTGGTTCTTTTATTCTGCAGAAAACTATACTGACTGTGATTCAAGTATCAAGCCATAAATTCTGTTTATAAAAATACATTTAGGAATCTTTGTTTTAGAAACAGGCATAAGGTATGTTGTGTTTTGTTTCCATTCATTTACAACAAGGAAATTGACTCTTTTTGAGAGGAGTCAAATATAAGTCATCTCCTTATAAGTGCTCTCTCTTTTTTTTTTTTTTTTTTTTTTTAATCAGTGCATCTTTTGATCCTTTGTCTTAAAACACAGAAAATAATATCAATATTCGGATTGGATAATCAGACATGTCCTAATTAAAATCATTAGGTGATCTATAGGCTACCAACTACTAGTGCAGATGAATCTCTTTTTCAATTATTGATTTTCTCTTTTTTAAATTATACATCTTTAACAAAAATTTATCTTTTCATACCTGCCAAGTCTCCTGTTTTTCAACGAAGACTCCTGTATGTTACGACTATCTCCCATATATTCTCAAATTTCCCCCTCTATTAGCTAAAGAAATTATTTTTAAAAAAATTGCTGATAAAATAACCACTGATGGCAAAAATACTTGTTTTCTTGATTTTTTGTTTTTTTTTTGTTTTGTTAATTTATGATATAGTTTCAATCGACCTTTCAAAAAAGGGTGTAAAATAAAGGGATTGTGATCTTCTATGTAATTTTCTTCAAAACTATTAAGCAATAAATTAGTGTTTTTTGACAATAATTTAAAAAACAAATTTGTCTATTTTTAATTTTTTTATTGCAGTTTAAACTGATTTGGGTGTTGCTTAAAATTTACATTAGTAAATGACACAAAAACAAGATATTTATCAAAAGTCTAAAAACTGATAACTTTATTTACCTTTCTAAAATTGGTAAATGCAGAATTGTATTATTCTAATTTTGTCAAAAAATTAATAGAAAATGTTAACTTTTGTGCACTTTATATCTTAAATTCTGATTGGGTTCCATCCTTGTATTTTACATGTATCTGCTGATAGATATGTATCTGATTGTATTCTACATGTATCTAAAGATATTGTTGAATATAATCCTCAGTTTATTTGTAAAAATTGAATAAAGGGGTTATAAAACATGTTTGAAACTTTTCCCCTCAACAGTTGAGTTTTGATCAGAATGAGAGAGATCTGCAAGATATCCTTTTAAGAAGTATATCTTCTATAGTGGCATTTTAAAATAATAAATTAGTAGTTTTTATTTAAAAACTTTTAAGAAATTTGTTTTAGAAAAAAAGTAATTGTTTCAAAATATATTAATTCACGTTCCAAGGAAGCTTATAAATATTTTTAACTCTCATAGGAGCCGATAAATATTTCTCACATTAATTCAATCTTTTTCATTAATACTAAATAAATTAGATATTTTTAATAGTAAACATAATTATAATAATTTAAAACATAATTTATTTCATAGATGTATTGAAAACATTAATAAATTTGACATTATTAATGTTTTCAATACATGTTAAATAAAAAATTATGAAATATTAAAAACATAGATGTATTGAATTGTGTTCTTATTTATTTCTATTAAATTGTTTTAGCTGCTATGTACTTAATTATTAACAAGTAATTAAAGATTTTGTGTTGTGAGATAGGTGATCAAATACTGATTAGTTATTTAGAATTTGTTCCAAAAGAAGAAGAGTATTTTGTGTTAATTGTTCTCTTTTTGTTTTAGTTTCCACCTTATGCTACAATTGAAATTGGACGTGTAGGCGAATTTGGTAGAAGAGAATTTGGTCATGGTGCTTTAGCGGAAAAAAGTCTCAAACCAGTAGGCTTTTCTTTTACCATAAGGTTAACTTCTGAAGTCTTAGCATCTAATGGTATATTCTTTTTGTATATTTTGTATTGCTTGTTTATATATTGTTTTATTTATTTATATATTAACGTATATCAAAAATTCTGAAAATAGAAGAAGTGAAAATTATTATTTTAAATCGGAGAGAGATTTCAATTTGTATGATTTTTTTTTAAATTGAGATTATAACAATTTTAAACTAATTTGTTTTAATTATTGACTAAAGGCAGGTTTAGATTTTTACCAGCAAAAAACCTGGTAAATATTATTAACCCATGTGTATTTATTTATGTTTATAATGCAAGGTTGCCACTCCACAGGGAAAGCCTGGAAAATACACTGCAGGGAATTTAAAAATCACCTAAAATGCAGGGAATTTTGATTTTTTTCTTTACAAACTGGGAAAATACATGAAATTTTTTATTTTTTTTTATATTTGTCTTTTAAAAAATGGTGACCACTCAAAGCGTATGGGATATTTAACCATGATATTTCAGCTATAAACTATTTCATTTAATATAACATTATGTTTGGCTGTTTTACCAGCAAATAAAACTAATAAATATAGTTAGCCCAATATATCTCACACAAGAGCGCAGTTGTTTCTTCTTAATATATTGATTATAATATGAAAACACATGACATCCAGATTTGAGTGGCAACCCTGCAATGGTTTACTATTTATAACTGATTGGTATTATAGCAAATATTTATAATGTATTTTATATATACACTACCCTACAATAATGGAATAGACGCTTTGAGTTTTTAAATTTCTCAAGAAATACTTAATTTATGACTTTAGAGATGTCATGCAATTTTTCATACTTTTGCAATAAGATTTAAAACCTTCAGAGGTTTGGAAGACCCACAGTAAATTGCAAAAGAAAACACGGGAAAAATATATTTGAGGGTGCCCCTTGGCGAAATTGGCGACTTATGTTTGGCTCCATTCCTGTTTGCGCGGAACACTGTGGTAACAGGAATGGCGGCCAAAACATAATGATATTTCAGTAAAACATAGGAAAATTTCAATAACACATCGGCCAAAACTTTATAAAATTGCAATGAACCCAATATGAGCAAAATTAATAAACCCAAGAAAATGCATTTTGAATCGAAACAACAATTAATGGAGTATGCAAAGAAAGAAAAGGAAAAAATCAAATCACTTCATTAAGCTTGAATATCCTCAGGCACAAAACTTTCTAATAGCAGTTAGATTTAGCAGTCTAAATTTATCATGGATAGAATCTGTGTACCTTCATCGCCACATAATTTCAGCGAAATACGAATTGAAAATGGCGTCTGTGGTACTGGAATGGCGGTGACATTTTTTTCTGAAGTCCCTTTTTATGACTGCCCACATACCTTCGATCTTATTGACCAGAAGCAAAAGTAACCTTACCTGCCGGTATCCAACGTAGAACAAACGGACCTCTAAAATTACATATACAGTTGAGCATTTAAAAATAACGCTAAAATCTAAACCAATCAGAATCACGATTGTGTTTCAACATCGACCAGCTTGGTGATCAGCCGTGATCTCAACTTGGCGAGAATCAAGGGGCACCCTCAAATATAGTCTACCCGAAAACACATATTTTTGAACACCCTATGCCAGTAAATCAAGCAATAATCTTGTATCCATTACTTTAGTTGTTGGTTGAAATAACTGCATTAGATTTCGTAAACCTAGAATAAATATTTATGGAAATATGGACAATTTTATGCAAACCTAATTTTTCTGCCTTTTTGTTTTTTCCAATAACTTAATAAATATTCAATGGAATAACTTAATAAATATTCAATGGAATAAAACAATATTTTTGGAGCAATTCAAAGTTCATTACAAAATTACTTATTTAATATTTTGAAAATAAAACTCTTTAAAAACTGCGTAAGATATAAGTATTTAAGGTAGTTCTTTTATGCTGTGCAAAAAAAAAAATTTAAAACATTTTTTCTTAAATTTGTAGTGAATCATATTTGGCAACTAATGAAAAATGTTTGATTTGAATATCTTAAGAAATTAAAAAGTTTCAAGCAATTTTCTAAGTATTTTTTGTATTTTTTAAAAGAATGCTCGAAATGATCAGGAATTTTTCTCAAATTTAGTTTGTTTCAAAAAACAAAATTTGATAACAAATGATTACTGTTTCATAAAACAAAATTTGATAACAAATGATTACTGCTTCATGAAACAAAATTTGATAACAAATGATCACTGTTTCATAAAACGAAATTTAATACATGATAACACCTTACAAAAATAGTCTAGAAACCAAAATGTGATGGTATAAGGAAAGAAAACGATCCTTTTATGGGGGATGATCCCCCACACTGTCGGTCTCATTTTTAATAAATCTTGTTTAATACAGTCGACTCGTTTATAATGAGCACAAAGGGACCGTAACATGTACTCGTTAAATCCGAGTGCTCGTAATAAACGGGTACTTAAGACAGGCGTGCAACCAAAAGAGGGGGGGTTTGGGAGGTCAAATGATTGAATTTACTTAAAATTTAATTAATACTTACTTACTTTAATTACATTAATTAATTTAATCGCTTTTTTTATTTCGCGCACATTTCCTATCATTTTGAAAAAAAGATAAGACAGAAAGACTAGAAAGATGAGAAAAGAGATTACAAGACGGAAAAATATTGCTCGCTAAAACCGGGTCTTGCTCGTTAAGAGCGACTTCTGTTCCATAGACTTAACATTGATCCAACCAAATATTCTCGTTTCCCTCGGTAAATCCGAGTTCTCGTTAAATCCGAGCTCGTTATAAACGAGTTCGACTGTAGTACAAAATGAAATTTCTGGAAAACCTCTAATTGCTGTGAGATTTCTTTCAAAATGTACAAAAACTACTTAGAAAATTGATTGAAACTTTTTAAATGTTTAAGATATTTAAATCAAACCTTTTCATTAGTTGCCAAATACTGTTCTAAAGAAATACCTTAAATACTTCAATCTTGCGCAGTTTTTAAATCTTTTTTTAAAATTTTAAATAATTAATTTTAAATTGCTCCAAAAATATTATTTGATTCCATAGAATACTTATGAAGTTATGGTAAAAATATTCCTAAGCATTAAAAATCTCTAATGTTATAAAATAATCCTTTAAGTATTTCTTGAGAAATTTTTTAAAAAAATGTCAAAAACTCAGTGCTCCTTTCATTATTGTAGGGTAGTGTATAATGTATATCAGCAAGTAACTAATTAATAAAAACTAATTATTGTAAAACTAATATTGTTGTAAAAACTAATTATTGTTGTAAAACTAATTATTCACATAACCAGGTGAAGCAGATCTTTTCAATATGAGCCAATAATCACTAATTAAAAATTAAAATCATGTTTACTATTTATATTATTGTATTATATCATTGTATGTCATAACTTTATTACAGCTGTACAGAAAATAACTGGATAACTGGAAAGCTGAAATAAGCAGAATTAGGAAATTTAATAAAAAGAAATAATTAAATAAGTTTAATAATGATTTTTCTTTCTTTTTTTTACAATGATTAATAAAAACATTAAAAAAATATACAATAGTGATAAGGGTACGGTAAAATAAGGATTTATCTTAACTGCGAATCTTTTGTCATTTATTTTTATAAAATTAGATTGGGGAAAAAAATATTTTACTTATTCCAGTTTCTATCTACATTTTTAAGATCAAAATTTTCCGAAATAATTATTTGTTCAAATGATTATTCCCAATTGTGTCTACCCTAGGTAAATTTAATGAAATCAGGAAAACCTTTTTGTGCATTTTTTTTCCTAAAAGTTTGTATCTATGCCAATAAAAGTGGGTAACTGTGTGCCTCTCTTTACTTCTTTATCTTAATTTGCAACATAGAACTAAAAATGTTTTATAAATTATATTTGTACTTCACTTTTTTTTCTATAATAGGTGATATTCATTTAAAATGGTATAAAAATTATTTTGTATTATACTAAGTCAATGTGCGAGGTGACTTTGTAGCAATTAATTTGCCACCTTAAAATCAACTAAAACTTCATTCGATTACAAAACAAAGTTTCTTTTTTTTTTTATATGTACCCAATTTTTAAAAAAAATATCTTTAAATGTTTTGTTTTTAGAATGAAAACATTAATATTAGTATATATATGTATAGTTATAGTTACGCACAGTGAAAATTAGAAAAATTTTGTTTGGAAGGCTATGTTTTATTTGTCATTTTTTGTTTGTAATGATCTTAAATCTGTCGAGTCGCAAAGTCCTCCAGGTACTAATCCAAGAGTTTCCTTGTCTTCTGGATTGGGTTCAGAATGACAAGGCCATGGAGATGAACATGAGTAGTCGTAAACCCAAAAATTGGGTCGGCTGTTCAATGACGGATATTAAATTTTTAAAAAAAGAAAAATCTGCAGTCATTTCCTTAGGGCACCGAAGAAAAAAAAGTCTGAAGAACTATGTTTCAATCTACTTAGGTACCAATCAAAGTGAAGATAATAGTTCAAAATGCAAATTTAATAACGAAATATTTTTCATGATAAACTTTTTAAGAAAATATGTAAAAATGTGTCTGCATTATCTCCTAATTTCACTAATTTAATTTTTTTTAAAAATATTCTTTTCTTATTTTTTTTTCTAAAAATTGTTTTGAAAGGTTTTTGTTGTTCAAATTCAAAAATCTTATTACTTTCCACACTTTGAGTCAAAGCTACACTCTTAAAACTTTTTACCAGATGTAAAAATTTTCAAAACGGGAATATTTGTGAGTATTATAAACATTATTCAAAATGAAAACATACTAATTTCTGAAAAAAGCTTACAAAGTTAAAAAAAAAAAAAATTTATCGAAGCAAAATTTAGAGCATTTATGTGCTATTAAAGAAAAAGCATTTTTTTTTATGATTTTAAAACTGTGAAGCTTTAAATTTATTTTCCTTTTTTTAAAATTCTTTTTTATGAATAAATTGTAAAAGCATGTTTATTTGACTATCATTTGATGTTATAGAATCGTATTCGATGACAACTGTCTGCGGTGGATCATTAACACTGATGGACGCTTTAGTACCCATATCAGTTCATGTTGCTGGTGTTGCTATAGTCTTGATAACTGCATACAACACTGAAGATAACAGAAGCATAGAAAAATATGCTATATTGGCTGATATATTGTTGATTTTTATGCATGCCACCTTCAATATTTATTGAAATATGAAAAACAATCTTCGACACACTAACGACAGGGGTAAAAATTTTAGTCATTTATCTGTGACTAAAAGATATTATAGTCTGGTCTATTTATATATATTTTCTCTGGTCCATTTGCATATCTTTACAAGGTGCGTAGGGTCTTTAAAAAATGCTTAAAGGTGCTTATTTTTTATTAAAATTTTTTAAAAGCCTTTAAAGGTGCTTTTTTTATTCATGCGTAAAAAGTGCTTAGTTTTCTATCTTTTAAGATATTTTTTCTTTGCTGTGTCGATTGTTGTTCTTAATTTTAAAAAATGCTTGATTTTCACAATTTTCTCTGCAATATTTATCGGAAGCTAGTTATTATATCCTGATTATACAAACATTTTGAATTTTATGCTTATAAGTGAAGAACTTTAAATGAAAAAAATAATTTTCATTACTGCACAAATCCTAATTAAGATTTTTTTTTTGGACACCGACTGAAAGTATTTTATGAGTGCTTAAAAAAGTACTTAAAAGGTGTTAATTTTTTGTTGAAAAGTCGAGCTACGTACCTGTATTAGATTTTGGTTAAAAATGATCTTAAATGAAAACACAATTAATGTGAAATACATACAGTTTTATTTGAATTTGTTATTTTGTGACAACAACACAGAGAAAAATACAGAGCAACACATCGTTTGCTGGTCTGGGAACGCCTGATAATTATTTTATCGTGATGTGAGTCCAATTCTTAAGATTCCAAGTTAACAGACTACTGTTAATTTCAAAACATGGTAATTGGTCTATACTATATTTTTGTAATAAACTGTATCTTGTTTGGAGAGTTTAAAATTTTTTAAGATGGTGAAGTGTGTAAAAAAAAACAGTTTTGACACGTGTAAATATATTTAAAATTGAATTTTTTGAGTGTTTAGTTCGGTATCCACTTGCCATTAAAAATTTGTACGACTTTCACTCTGAGAGGCAACTAAGTTAAAACACATTCAGATTAAACAAATAATTGTCTTTAAAAAAATTCACTTTTGCTCTAATAATCTACTTTTTACGAACTAAGTGTGCATCTTAATAGCTTAAAGGGATGACTTCAAATATGTGAATTAAGTTCAAACGATATTTTAAGTTGTGAAATAAGACACAAAAATGTACAAAAAAAGAAATTAAGTTCAAGGTGTTAAACTACGGCATAAACTTTTAGAACCATGTTTTCCACATTGTTGCTACCCACCCTATTTTGATGGTCATACGTCCAAATACTTTGAACTAAAAGTATGTTTGTGAGAAACTATATTGTGTTTGATGTCATAATTTTAAATATTCTCTGTATTAAGATATTTGCATAATTGGGGTCGCTCCTTTAAACTCTTAAGATATTTCAAACACACAAGAATATTTTAGAGGGTTTTTCGTCAGTTACGTAACGTTATTTTAAGTAAAAATTTCAGGATGTAATTTTTTTTTTATAATTATTTCTTTGTGCTACTTTTTTTACAAGGTTTAAATTATCTTTCAGAATGTTTAAATAAATCTATAAGCCTTTTCTTTTTCTGATATATTATTTACACAAAGACGGAAAGGGTTTCGATTAAAGAATGGTGTAGATCTACTGCATTTAAATTTCTTTACAAAATTATTGCATATCAGTATTTTTGTAGTATGACATGCCTTTAAAAATATATTTTGGCTGTTATCTTTGATAAAAACTAAAAACCATTTTTTGCTGATTGCAGAGATAAGTAGAGGACAAACTCATTGTTTAGTGAAACAAGTTATCTTTGGAGAGGGCAAAACAACTTAATTGAAAAAAAATGACTGGAATGTTTTATATATATATTAAAGTTTAAAATGAAGATAAAACAAAGGAAAATTACAGACATATGAAAAAAAGGGGGGAAAGAAAAATAATGATAAAAATAACAAAAAACTGGGGGTAAAAATAATTTTTAAAAAATCCAAAAAAAAGGGATAAAATGTTTTTTTTTTTAAATCCGGAAAATGATTATTAAAAAAATTTATATAGTTTTTTGTTATTTTTATTATTATTTTTCTTTTTCCCCCTTTTTTCATATGTCTGTAATTTTCCTTTGTTTTATCCTCATTTTGAACTTATTTTATGAGTTCTATTTACTTGCAGCTTATGCGCNCGGCTTTTTGTAGCGATTCAGAAAACCGGAAAAATCAGTTATCCGGAATAGCGATGGTCCCAATCGTTCCGGATAATCGGTTCCCTACTGTATATATATATATATATATATACTTGAAAGGGTAAATGTATGCAGAATTTATTTTTTCCAACAAAAAAGAAAATATTCTCAAATTTAATGGGTTGAAGCTTCATTATTAAATTTTCTTGAATAGTCATGTTTTGTTCTTCATAAAATACTTTGTTAACCTTATAAAAATTTAAATGTCTTAATAAAAAAGAATGCTATTTACAGAGCTATAATTAATTATTGAAGGGATGTCTGTGGGAAATGGTTGATTTTGCTGAAGAAGGGTGTATTAAGGCTGTTTCGGGACTTTTTAGTGACGGGGTACCTGATTCTGGGATTTTCAAAGTTACAGTTGAAAAAGTTAATCTGTTGTTTTTATTAGTTTATTAGCTGATGATATCGAAATTACCTTTCTTGATGAAAAAAATATATAGCCATTTTTTTCTTCTTTTCAATTAGATGTTAATATACCTGGTCTTCCATTAAATATTATAGATGAGTCACTCTCCTTAGCTGCAGGTAATTACAGAATTTAGTTATAACATGTTTAAGCAGTGTATAAAAGGATAGCGGGTGGAAATTGTGTACCTTAAATAAAACTACATAATTTTGAGCCCATAATATAAAATTTGGTGCCAAGTATTAACAGTTATTTAATAATATATTGACCAAAAAATATTTTTGAATTAAAAATGTAAGTTTACGATGTAACATAATATTTCATAAAATGCTCAATCCTGTTATTTTACCTTCTTACAGTTTATAAAACTGGTGGGAACATATTAAAAAAAAAAAAAAATCGCACTTAACCAGAAGTTAGTGAAGAAAACATTGAAGGTCCGAGAGCAAGGTACTCTATGTTATTTGGAGCACCACTAGGGAGGTTTAGTCAAGTCTGTTCCAAAAGTGGATACATGACTGAACTTCTTTTTCTCAAGCATACAGAAAATAAAATACTTTTGGTGATGGACAATCATAAAAGTCTGTTTGCTAAGTGTATTGAGTTAGTTACCCTTCCTCCGCATTGTTCTCCCGCCCTAGGATGTTAAGAGTCATTGGGCCATTCAAATCTAAATTGAGAGTATCATAAAATAATTGGATGGTATTGAATCCAGATAAGCATACATAACTTGGCTGCAATAGCAAATACTGCATATAATTTAACATTTACAAACAAAAACGTCACTGCATTTTTCCAAAAAACTGGAATCTGGCCCTTTTCACATTCCAGTTTTACTGATGAAGACTTAGAACCTTCTTCTGTAACAGTTTTGCAAGCTTCTATTAATTCTAGTAAATTCTTCCTGTGGATCAAATTGTTGTAGAAAGGTGTACAATAGATAGTCTCCCAAGTACTAGTAAAGGAAATCATAATTTTTATACACCAACAAGGTCAACTAAAAGAAAACCTAAAGAGCCTAGGTTAATAACACCTGTAGATGTGAGACCCTAAATCTATTACCATGACCAAAAAAAGAGGTAGGAAAAATGGAAAGCCCAAATATTGACACACAATGAAACACCCAAGAAAAACCGCATTCAAGAAGAAACTATTCGAAGATTGGAAAAGACGAGGAAATCAATCACAAATGAAATTAAGCTCAAGTTAAAACCATCAAAAAAATTATTATTTGTTGAATCTTCTGAAAGTGAGTGTGCAGGTGACATTCCTTTATACAACGAATCAGAATGTGAAGATTTTTTAACGCCTTCCATTACAGATATTGAAGAGCAGATGAATTTTGAGATAGCTGATGATACAATAATAGAAGTTAATAACTGTGTTCTTGTTGAGTTTTGTGGAAAGAAAGAAAAGTTCTATTTGTAGGAAAAATTGAAGAGATGGAAGAAGACAGCTATAAAGTAAATTTTATGAGAAAGAAGGAAGATTCATCGAAATTTTATTTTCCAGAAAAAGAGGATATTTGTAGTATAGAAAGAAATGACATTAAAATAAAACTGCCGCAAGCGGCGGAACAGCTCGAGCTATGTTCTTCATGACATTCTCTGTAAACTTTGATTCAATTAAAGACAAAATAATGTAGCAAAAACCTAAATCTATCCAATATGTTCATTCATTATTATTATTATTTTATGAATAAAGTTAACTTTCCAAATTGTAGGTCTTGTTCAGTTCTCTTCGATTGTTGAAATGTGCCCCGCCACTCATTGAAAACTGCCCTCCAGGAGGGGTAGATTTCAACAAAATACATGGTTCACTAAATATGCAAAATTAGATATTTTATCTTTGGCTTAGACTTTTGGAAAAAATTGAAAGGTTACATCAAATATCAATTTAGTAAATAAAAATTAGAACTTTGATTTTGAAAGCAATAAAACTTCCCAAATAATTCTTTAGTAAAAAATGTTGAAAGGTGCCCCCTCTCCCCTACCTCTCAAAAAAAAAACCAGACAGACCCCTGGAGTGATTGTTTTATCAAGCATTGAAATACTATAAAGAAACTGTCTAAAACCCTTTTACTCAAATTATGTCATGATTTTAAAAAAATATTATGAGAAATAAAACGTTAAATTTTTAACAAGAACCAAAATGAGGACAATTTTTTGTTTTATTTATGAAGTTTATTATTATTTTTAATATTGCATTATTTATCCTTATGCAAGAAACATAATTTATTAGTATTAAAAGCCCATTTATTCATATTTAAAGGATAAGGTATTCACTTTTGTTGTTCAATGAATTATGGAGCTTCAAAAGTTATAAATCTTTTCCTATTATATTATTTTCCTTTAATAAGTTAAAACAAATTGTATAAAAAGTATCAAGCCAAGGTTGTGGTTTTGGACGTCCTAAACTGATTTTGGATAGAACATGTGGGTTTTACTGTCCTAAACTTACTAATAACTGTCTTAAAGTGTCCAAAAGCTTGAACTTTGGTGAAAGGTAAAAATTCTATATGTGTAACCATTGTACACCATATAATAATTGCATGTATCAATAAATATTTGATATTTTTTATACAATTTGCTTTAACTTATTAAAGGAAAATAATATAATATAATAGGAAAAAGTTTATAATTTTTGAAGCTCCACAATTCATTGAACAACAAAACTGAATACCTTACTCTTTAAATATAAATATGCTTTTAATACTGATAAATTATGTTTTTGCTTAAGGATAAATAAGGCAATATTAAAAAATAATAATAATTTTTCTAAAAAAAATACTAAATTTGTTTAAAAAAAATTACCTTTTATTTTTCACAATATTTTTTTTTAAAAATTTTATAATTTCTGCATTAGGGGATGATAAAAAAGACATCTATTTAAAAAAATAATTGCTTTTAAATATATTAGCTTAAATTGGAAATACATTGAAGATTTAACTTTGAAATGTACAAGATTTATAAGCAACTTCATATTATTAAATACATAAAAATAAATATAATGAATTAGATGGCCTACGTGATTCGAATGAGTGATGACAATACAATAAATGAAATATTGCTTTTTTGACTCATTGGAATAAGAAAGCAGGGAATGATGGGCTGATTTTCTTCCAATTAATAAAAAGAATTGAAGATCAAAGATAAATCAAAAGCAGTTATGGAGAAATCTTCAGTAGAAGGCATTGGGCTGTCTGGCCAACTATGATGATGAGAAAATGCCTAATTGTAAACAAAATAAAAGCGTGGTTTGAGATAACTTTAAAAATAATCCAGTGGCATCACATGTTTATCATTGATGATATTTGACATAAGGAATAAAAATAATGAAACATTAAAAAAAAAGAAAAAACATTTTTTTCGTAAAAAAGATATTTAAGATAGCAAACAGTATTATCTTAACGTTTTATTATTTACATTATCTTTTAAACATTTGAAAAATTTGATTAATTTATAACAATGGCTAATGTTTACCCAATTCCATTTTTCAAATGTCTCTCCTAAGCAATCTAATTAAAATGTTTGAATGGGAGGATTAAATTTCACTTACTGTCTAAATTTCATGATACTTTTGGAATTATAAAAGAGACACAGAAACTCTTTGTTTTATTATTATGGAGCAAGTTCACATTAGTTAAATAATTTGTTTTACTTCACACTTTAGTTTGCAAATTTCATTTAAATATTTTAAAGTAAAATTACATATAATGTTAAATAAAAACATTAAATAACCCGTAGTATAATGAGACAATATATATCAATAAAACTAAAGAACCTGAATCGAGCACAAAAACAGACATTTTATAGTTGTTTACAGAACTGAAACTATTAAAAGTCTGTTTTTGCACCTTTATTCATACTCTATTCATCTGTAGCTCATACTTTTCTTTTGGATAAATAATAATAATTTTGTTTTTACCCAAGAAACTTTAGAAGTACCACTCCACAAAATTGGCCAATTCATCAGGAGGAATGAATTTAAAAAAGATTCATTCTCGAACAGGTTTTATTTTTCAGATATTTACTGCAGATGCAATTGGTGGAAGACAAAAGTGATTTTTCAACAGCAGATACTATAATTGTGCTTCGATGTTCCAACGTTCAATTCAAGCAAAACAGACAGAATGCAATTTCCCATCGCAACAGCTTCATTCCAAACAATCATTTCCGTCAATAAAA